ACGAAATATTGTCAATTTTATTGATCCTGGAATTACGTCGAAATTCGGGCTGTTACAGTAGTGGACCCCTTTAACAAAATGGTTAATACCACGAAAAACCCCAAACTGGTATACCTGTGACAAATTTACCTTAAACTGATTTTTTGACCATAAAAAACTCCAAACTGATACACTTGTAATAATTTTTAATAATATTTCAATATCATCATCAGATCTCTCTCTGTGAACATTTTCATTTGGTTCAAAATTTTATAAGCAATAATTTATGTCAAAGCCCATGGAAAATGGGTGTAGGAAATATTGGTTATTTGGAATTGTGGATCATTTTGCATGCATTAGGTTCTAATTGATGCGATGTGGACAGGGAAGATCTGATACAGAAATAATATGTAAATGTGACGATACCGACTTGAGCCATGACGTTCTAGGCTGTCACAAAAACAATGCGGCTTAATTATCTGATTTGATTAAAAACGCAAGCAGAAAACGAAATGTAAATCAAAGATATCAGAAGAAACATAACAGACATCTCTTATTTATCTTTTTTTTTCTTTAGGCGATTAGTATAATTACATCACAAAGGAAATGACAACTGGGAAGCAAAGATCTAGTTTACTCCTTCTACCAGCTACAAAACGTCACATTCACGCCTGTCTTAAAGCTACCATACAAAAGCCCTAGGAGACTACTCGCCAGCGGCCATGATGCAGCTCAAACAAAAAGGGGCTACTGCATCAACACCTGGCCTGATCAATCACTGGCCACGGACCTCCTCACACTCTCACAAAGGAAGGGGACATGTCCAAACAGACGACCATCTATGTGGAAGTAGTCCGATACAAAACGAAATGGCATCCGTCCTAAGGGGATAAAGCAGTTGACGTAGACAATGGTCGAGTGGCGTGGGAACGCCACTCTAGGTACGACGGGATCGGGACGCTCAATGAACAATCCCTCGATATCTAGTACCGAACCATATGTGGAGATAGGTTCAGTGGGTGGATGGAACGCCATGCTAACGGTCTGAAAAACATGGAAAGCAACAACAGTGAGATAAACTAAGCAAGTAAATCAAGCCATGACTATTCTATTCAAACAGTTATATCATGATTAAAGAGTCTACTACAAGATCATCGATTTTCATCATGATATGAATAATGATAATATGTATATGAGAATGCATATGATATGCCCATGAATTCCCCGCGAATGCCACTCTCATTCGTAACCATCGATTTTAAGAACTGATCTTCTGCAGACCACATAGCAGTAGGCATTTCGCTCTTACTCTGAGATTATGCGACTTACTTGCGCATCTATCACTGAGACCACATAGCAGGGCCTCACGGTATAACTGCTTTGAGCTTCTCGAATTCCCTCGCTGGCTCCCATGGGGGATCACCGGTACTCCAGCTGATGGTCCTCACCGTAATCCTTACAATGTAATGTATATAGATGAAATGACAGAAATGCAACATGTCAACTTCAATACTCTGACAATTATTATATCAATATCGTTAATAAGATACGATCGACAATAGTCGAAATAATGATTATTGAGAGCGTCCATGGCTGCACCACCAGCTGTACCTTTTTAATCCCGTCACCACCGAAATTTTTTTGGTGTTCACTACATGATTGAGTTCATCACAACTAAATCACAAGATATATTGAAAGTTGTAAAAGGCAAGTAAGCAATAAAAGCTAGCCATGCAAAGCAAATCACGTTCGTCACTCACGTACGGAACCACTACACGAGCTCATTGTGCCGATTTACCTACGAAACAATATTTTCACTTCCTCCAAATTAGCACCAACTGAATCATCAACATGAATGGTTACTGTCGGGATTTCCGAACCAACGAAAAATCACATTTTTCCACCGTCTTTAAAGCAAACAACCTCGTTGTCACAAAATCACTTCATTTCGAAGCTTCCACCAATGTTCACAAGTTTCGCGCAACTACCGGTTATCTTTCCGTATAACGTGCAATCCAAGCTCCACCTCTAGTCATAACATAAAGGGTTGAAATGAAGAGAAATGGCGAGAATACTCGCCTTAGATACGATCGTAAAGCTTCGTCCTTCATCTTTCTCGAGGTACGTCGGAACTCAAGCTTCAATGGAGAGGAAACGAGCGAGATCTCAAGAAGACAAACGATGAGAAAATGAGGGCAAAGAGAGAGCACGGTGGAGAGAGGTGGTTCGATCGGTGGAGGCGAAGAAATGAAGGAGAAAGAGAAAAAGAACAAAGATAGAAAGAAGAAAGCCATAAAGTCAATACTCATCATCATTTTCAATCAATGTAACTCAAAATATTATCTAATACAACTTATGGACTTCAAAGGTTACTAATTGAGACAAGACAAAAGAAATGATGGGGAAGAGGGAGGGAGGTTGGCATGAGAGAGAGAGAAAGAGAGAAGAAAAGAGAAGAAAGACTTTGACCCAAAAGTTATCATTGCTCACATATAATTAGACTCAAAGCTTCTTCAATAAAGCAAGATAAGAATTGAAGAAAGAGAAGAGAGATGGGGTCCGGCTGGATTTCAAAGAAAAATAAAGTTTGACTTATAAATGGCATTTTTCCCAAAAATACCTCTGTAATTTCCAAAATTTACGATATTGCCACCGAGCCATTTTTACTTGCTAATAAACACCATGAGCCAAAAAAACGCAAGGCGCCACTATCACTAGGCCCTTTAGATTCCATGACACATTAACAGAAATTATGTAAAGCTCGTGCACCTCAAAATCACGATCATCGCAAAACCGATAATTCACAAAAAAAGAGTAGATAAAACATGAATTAATCACTCAAAGACTATTCCTCAATAGTCATTGCAAATAACATTTCCAAATGTTATTCTCTGTGCATTAAAATAGGTGAGCCAGAATCAGGATGTCACAGTAAAGCAATGAAGTCGGCACAGGTATAATCTTTAAAATTCCAATTAATTACCATGCTTGGGTCTGTTTTATTTTCTTTAGGTAGTTTGACAGTGACCTAGCAAATTTTGCATAGGATGAAAACAAAAGATTCTGCACACGAATCCTGATTTTCACGTTAATTTCAAACTCAGGGCCGATGTTAACCTCCACACGGGTTTGGTTAGGATCACTAAATTTTTCCACCAAAGAACTACATGTGAGCACATAATCCAAGGCTCTGATTGGCTGAGAGAATATATGCTCCTAAAATTGCATATCTCCTAGGTGGTCTGGTCGATTAGGTATTGTAGACCGACCCAAAAATGGACAGGCATGACAGAATTGCGTGCTCGATTATAATCTGAGTCATTAGTCTACTTGCTCAATTCACAATTAATTCCACACTTTGCTCCTTTGGGCATGTACACTTGGCTTCAGACAAAATAAACAAGTTATTGTCTTTGTACATGCTTGCAGTTGTAATGTACAAGCAAGAACCAAAGAACAGGGACAACATGATTGAGCACAAAGTTTTTACCAACTAAAAGCGTGGCTAACAATTATCAGATTTTATTCCCCATTTACACCATATTACAACTCTACTACTTTTCAGTTAATGGTCGCTTTCTCTCTCTACCTTCCCCTGTTGAAACTGGGAAGCCTTTTTACGCTCTGCCGTCGATTAAAGATCACTTCAAAGTGAGGAAAAAGGAAGAGATCATTTTAGTTGAAGCGTTTCGCTCTGTCCATTGATGATTAGAGGGAGATGCTTGTAGCAGATCCAGTGAAGGATTATCGAGTCTTGGGGATCCAGATTGGGTGTATTTGTGCTATTAAAAAGGCAGGCTTCAAAAGAACACCTCAGCCATGATAACAAGCTGAGTCTCATAGGAAAGATGGATCTCTTTGCCAGGAGAATCTGAAAATCGCCAGACCGAGTTTGTTCTGTTTGGTGGCTGGGAAAATTTTCGGAAGAGTGGCAAGCTATGGGTGTCGACCTAGGAAGGATAAGGAGTTGGCAAAGAAAGTGGCTGATGTGTTCAGGCCCAGTCACTCGTCTAAGCAGAGAAGTGTGGCTGGAAAAAGTGGAATTTTGGAGGATTATTCTCCGGTATCAGGCCAAGGTACGAGCTAAAACCTGGATATGCTGGGCGGGCTTGGCAGTCCGGCGCATCTTCTTCCACCCATTCTTGAAGTTGCTGCCATTGTAGTGAAGAACCGTGTCGAGGACATTCAGAAGGAAGAAATTGGAGGTCGGGGCTTGAAGTTAATCAAAAAGAGTGGTGTAACTATGATCTAGACGCCTTCATTTTTATGCGGCGATAGAAATTCTGGCTATTGTGTCATCGTTACACTTATCTGGTGCAGATTTCAGTGTCACTTTCATGATCAAATCTACATCAAAGACATCAGACACACTGACCTTCATCATAAGCTTGAAATGGTCTCTCTCCTTCCCGTCGTTGTATACTAGTTGAGCAAGCACGGTTTTTCCTAGACCTCTTGTAACAACGATTGAAACACAGCAGAAACACTCTCCTTGGAGGTGGGATCAAACATGAGTTGGACGATTTCCTCCTTATCCTCTTCTTATGCATGGAAGAGTGAGTTTTCCTCCTCCCGACAGCGGCTGTTTGCTCACTCAGATGTGTATTTAAATGGAGCTTCCTATCATCCTCAATCCTTCCTAATTTTTTCCTACGCCTTCGTTTATTTCGTGGAAAATCAATGATTTGAAAACCATTTTTCTAAAAATAATTGTTGTATCGCTTATAAAAATGAGTGGATAAAAAATATTCTCATCATCCATGAAAATATCTAGATACAAATTATTGTCGATAATGAAAATATTTTTCATTGACTAATTATTTCAAACGATGCAAGCAATCATCTTTAGGAAAATAGTTTCCAAATCATTCATTTTTAAACAAACGGAGCCTAAGTACCCTAATATTTTTACCCACATTAAGGCTCTGCACAGGCCGGTTTCATAGCCGTGTTGTCGCTGGTCGTGACTCTTCGCATTGCCCTCGGGTGGAGTTCCAATTGCGGAGCCAAAATATATTTCTACCGGGATTTATTGAGTAAAGGTACAGCGTCCATTCATACACAAACAAGTAGTATTCCAATCACAATACATATTACAAACCCAACTATACAAGTGTGCAAAACAACCGAAGAAGAAATTTATGAGGGAAAATATTCGACTCAACTAAAATATTCGATTGCCATTGTCGCTTCTTGGCGTTTAAAAGCACCGACCGAATGGTCCCAGCAATGTCCTTAAGACTCTGTGGAGAGCTGATCACTCGTGCCGCACAGCAGTGGTTAGGTTCAAACGCAACGATTCTGCCAAATTTCTTGAGGTGAATATGAGAGGATGCACTGTACGGACGGGTATAAAACATCATCTTTTGTTAAAGGACTTGAAAAAATCGGTGCTATTATAATAATATCTAAAGATATTGTTATAATGAGAATCGTATTGCAAACCAAGCAAATTTACATATAAAAAACAAACCTATTCTCATTGGAATTGATTTATATATAATATCACGTATAGCAAGTGGATTTTATTCTTACCTCATGCTATACTAAAAGAATATTATGGTTATGACCAGAATATCAGTTTTGATTGATTCATTTCATATTCATTTGACTAGCAAAGATGTGTAAAATGAGTAAAAACAACTTACCGTAAATAACATACTAGGAGGACATATCATCCTCAATGTAATTGGGGCAATAGTCACGTGATTCAAATGATAAGCATGGAACGTGCGCAATCTTTTCCCAGTCCGCACCGCTTTCCGTTTGGCACCTCTCTTCCAGAGCAGGACATCCAGTGATTCTCAATTTCTTCAAGGAGGTGAGGCGGCGCATCCCATCAGGCAAACACATTAAACTTGGACAGTCATAAATTTCAAGCTCATGGAGCGAGGAGAAATTTCCAATCCATTTCGGCAAACTCTTCAGTTCCTTACAGCGATCAACCTCAAGATATTGTAAAGTGGTGACATGTTGAATTCCCTCGGGTAATGCCACGAGTTTTGGAAGTTGTGCCAATATAAGATGGCGGAGATTCACGAGGGATCGCCACTGGGTGCCATGCTCGTCGTTGTGGCTCGACAAATCGAGCTCTTTACAACCCAAAAGTTCGAGCTGCTGGAGTGAGGATAGGTACTGCAAGCCAGCGAGACAACTTAGTTTGAGACACGAGGAAAGGCTCATGTACTCGAGATTACCGAGGAACCGAAGTACACTCTCAAGCAACGAGTGCTCCAGATCCACCCCACCCGAAAAATCTAGTTCATTTACTTTAGAGAGAGGGATGGACGTGGAAACTACTGCTCCTTCTGATGTAGCATTTTGAAAGGCCATCACTTGTTGTACCAATAGCTTCGCACTAACTCCATCTATTCGCAACGTTTCTATCCAGGGGAACAGTGGCACGGAATTCAGAAGGGGACAATCGGATATATCCATCAATGAAAGTTTTGAGAATGATGATTGAGAATCATACTGGAGATAATCTTGATCTGCTCCCACCAGTTGCCTTCTTCCCCACCATCCTTTTAGCTTGCCACAGTGGTAGAGGTGCAGTTTCTCCAGAGATGGGAAGAAGGGGCTTGCAGTATTAGATTGCGTTGGGTCACTTATCTCTTGAACAAACTCCAATGCATCCAAAGAAACGAGAGCCAACTGTCTAAGGGAAGGGAGTTCACTCACAGATGGCAAGTACTTCCATCCTTTACAATGCAAGAGTGTGAGCTCAACAAGATTCTTGGTGGAGGAAAGCCAGTTTGGCGGACTCCTACCCATATAAGAGGATATGTTCAAATCGGCTAGATTTGGGTGCGGTCTGAGGTTCTCCCACAAGATCAATTCATCACTCTCGCTTTTGTCGTCTTGCTGCTCCGTCGACCACTCTAGCTCCAAGGTACGGAGATGTTGCTTCTCCCTCAAGTAACCTTTATTTGGTGCCAGTTGAAGGAACTCCAACTTTTGAAGAGTAATGGACCCAACCAATTTGTTTAACTCACCCAGTTCATCTACACTCCCCACACCACCGGGTACTTTATGGTCCATCTTTGATAAGGTGAATTGGGATAAAGTATGAAGCAAAGACAAGTGGTTCAACCCGCATGGCATGTGGCTCAGTGAGGAACACCCATCAATTAAGAGGTGTCTAAGGTTGACCAATTTCCTCAAATCTCTTGGAAGTGTTTTAAGTTGAAGGCAACCAGAGAGGTTAAGGGTTTGCAAGTGCAATAAATCCGTGATTGAATCTGGCAAACTCTCAATGAATCTATTGCCAGAGAGATCAAGAAATCTTAAGTGTTTCAATTGACTTCCCAAGGAGGGAGGGATACAAAAATTTGCATCGCTAAAACCCAACGCTCGGCAATGCCTAAACTTGGAGAGATTTGCCTGATATTCATTTTGGATCGATAGCTCTCCAAATGTTCTCCTGTTCATATAGAGAAATGTTCGTAGATTGCTCTCTTCAAGTAGAGAGGTCATTTCCTGTAGCGAGAACGATTGTGAAACAAATGATGCATGTCGGATTCCTCTAGCGATGCCTCCTTCATTGAGATTAAACATCTTGCACTCATCTCCTGCGACTGCCAAGGCAAGATCGTGCATGAGATCGTGCATCATGAATGCTGTCACCTCACCTGTGGAAGGATGGACCTGTTCAACTTCAAGGAATGACCTACACAGTAGGTCCGAGACATAACTATCCCCGATTTGTTCTAGGTCCTTGTTCGCGTCCGATGACTCAATAAAGCCTTGTGCCATCCAAAGCTGTATCATTGTATGTTTATCAAAGACAAAATCCTTTGGAAACAAAGCACAATATGCAAAACAATGCTTTAACCATGACGGAAGATGATTGTAGCTGAACTTGAGGACTTCCATAAAACCATGGTCCAACTTATCTATTTTTGAAAGTTCATGCTCTTGCAAATACAGCCACTCATTTTCCTTTTTGTTGTATAAAAGGCTGCCTACAGTTTTGATGGCAAGGGGAACACAGCGGCATTTTTTAACAATGTCTCGACCTATCTTCTCAAGCGCTGGGTCAAATGATTGTTCCCCATCTCCAAAAGCCATTTTCTTGAATAAATCCCACGACTTATCTTCAGATAAGCCACGTAGAACATGGATAACTGATTTCGCTTCTGCAGCGTGGACAACTGATTTACTGCGGGTGGTTACGAGTATCTTGCTCCCCCATGAACCACCTATTAGCAAAGGTTGGAGCTCCAACCATCTCAGGCGATCTTCATTCCACAAGTCATCCAAAACAAGCAAGTATTTCTTCCCGTCTAGTACCTTACGAAGGAGCCTTTGCAACTGGTCCTTAGATTTTTTCTCAAGGTCTTGCAGATCTCTCCTCATCTCAGGATCCTCTCGACACTCGTCTTGGGCAGACTTCAATATGTCTTTGATGATCAAATCCACATCAAAGATTTTAGGATCCCCGTGACACACCCACATCTTAAGCTCGAAATAATCGTTCACCTTATCATCGTTATATACCAGCTCAGCAAGCGCGGTTTTTCCAAGTCCTCCTATACCAACGATGGAAACAACCGACACACTCTCTCTGGAGGAGGAATCAAGCAAATGTGCGATTATCTTCTTCTTATCCTCTTCTCTACCAATTATTTCTTCCTCGCGCGCAAAAGAGTGAGTTGTCCTCCTCACAATAGAAAGAGTTGCCTCACTCAGATGCCGCTCCAAATTGAACTCCCTATCATTTTTAAGCCGAACCAGTTTCTTCCTAAGTTCCTGAATCTTATTAGCCACTTTGAGATGGTGTGCAAGCTGATTTGATTTAGAGAAGAAAATGCGTACTGCTTTCAACATCTTGTTGCCAGAAGTGACCTTCCACCTCAGATCTTCGGTTGCGACATCGTCGAGCAAATCCTGTAACTCGCACAGCATATCCTTGAGCCTCTTGAGCCAGAGCTTGAGCTCATTGTTGTGCCATTGCTGTCTTTCAGCATCCAAAAGCACAGCTTGGATGGTCCGGACGGTGTCTTCAAGGCTTTGGAGCTCGTCCTTGGCACAGCAGAGTAACTGGATATTCTGAGAAGCGAAGGAGCCTCCACGTTTCGCCATTTCAGTGGCGAGGCTTTTCAGTATGTCAGTTGCAAGGTTGAAGAGCACTGCTTCCGCCATTTTCGATGGGAAAAGCAGGGGTTGAGGAGTGTTTGAGAGGAGGTTGCAGAGCTGATGCTTTTGTTGGGAGACAATGGTCTGGTGCTGCCTCATGATCAACTTCATGCACGAATATATAGCAAGGCCAACGGCATCTCCACGTCACTTCATGAAAACTCGAATAGTCTTTAAACTAATGAGAAAATACATAATATCATGAAAAAATCAGAGTAATGGCCCACAGCGTTCCACACGCACGAAAGTCGAATCCTCAAATCTCATTTGTTATCATGTTTAAATGAGGAAATCAAATTCTGGCTAGTGGGAATGGAATTGATCAATAAGAAGAAAAGGGGAATATAGCCTTGGCGCGATTCGACATAAAATGCTGAAATTATGAAAGCCTTTGTGAGATATGGTTTCGGAATCATCGTAAAATGTGGAATGCAGCTAATGTAGTGAAAAACTTTTGGAAGGGTCCCAATGGACAAATTCCGAGCTTGACATGCACGAAATCACTAGTCTAACATCATGGCTTGACTATGCGGTAAAAGCAAAGCAGGTTGCCCTGTTTGTTTAGCTAAAATTTTCCAGTTTTTGGTTTTCATTTTCATTTGAACATGAAAATAGCATGCGAAAGTGGTCTCCAAAATTGTTTAGCCAGTTGCAGAGTTGACGAACAAAATGTTACAAAGGACGGTCGATAAAATAATTTCTAGCACTGTAAATGTATTTAATACATCAAACTATCTGATAAATAGATTTTCATCCATTGAAATTGGCTGCCGAATTTCCAAAAAAGTTTGCTCGAAAGAGGATGCGGCAAAAGCAAAGCAAATTGGCTAGTTTGGTTAGAAATCATGACACTTTTGTGGTGACAATTTCATGGACACGTGTCGATCTAGCACATATTGGGCAGTGGGTTACTGTGATTTCAAGTAGGACTATGCATGATGGAATCTATCTTCTTCTTTTTTATGGTTAATATCACCAAAAATCTCAATTTAGTACGTCCATGTCACATTTGCTTCAAATTAATTTTTGTATCACAAAAATTGTCACGCCCCGTACCCCACGAAGCGACAATATCCCGTGTACAGGTCGAAATTGTGGTGCGATGCTCCCAGGCTACGTCACCAACCCGAAAACCCAAATCAGAGAAAAACACGACACATGCGGAAACGACGTATATATATAATATATATATATATATATATACACTCGGACAATAAACAAAGTAACCATGAATAACACCAGATAAATAATTTACGAACAATTTGAAACGAGATAAACATTCTTTACCATAACTTATGTACAATATCCATTTACAACAAAAGATACAACGATAGGGCCACTAAGACAAAAAGGGATCAGCGGCCGGGGTCAACTACCAACAGGAGGGCTACAGTCAAAAAGCATCGGCCCTCGCTCCTACAACTGAGGTCTAACCTAGGGTACCCAGTCGGGATCAGAACCCAACAAATCTGAAGAACTCTCGGAAGGCTCCTGCTCTTCGGCCTCAGCTATATCCATCGGCTCTGGGGCCTTCGCGTACACCTGCTCCGGGATTGGGTCCACAACCTCTGGCTCAAAAGCTACCCCACCTAGCTCCTCATGCTCCTCCTCATCCTCCACAATCTCATACTCTACCTACGAGTCTTGGTTACTCTCCATATCCACATCTATAATATTGCCGTTTGGACACTGCGGGTGCAACTGACCCTCTCCGACAAACGGGACATCAGCAGACCTGATGGGACTGAACTCGTCTCCAAAACGGTCCCGGAAACACCAAGCTAGGTACTCGTGGGTCTCATAGTGAGCTAAACCTACGTCTACCCTAACTAACGTATAATGCCGTATGTACACCTCATCATTCCCCACAGGATGAACTGTCCTCGAGCGCTCTATATGGGTGGGGATCCCGAAACGTAACGGCGCGTCTTTAAAATTCATGGTCGGGGATCTGAAATGTCAGTTTTACAACAACCGTGAGAAAACTCAGCAAGTAACAACCCCTAATCCTAAACTAGGCTAATGTGCACCTCCAGATAGGTAAATTAAACACATCAAGCAAAGAACCAGTAAATCACTAAAATTTCTCCCGGGCCCACAGCCCAATACATTATCTCGAAACCCTGCAGGTTAGGTGTTCAACAACAAAAATACTCACGTGCAATTATTCCGACCCAAAGGCCCACAAATATAACGACCCGAAGGCCCACAGTTGTATAAATCGACCCGGAGGCCCGACTCGAAGGCCATAATTCAATAAAACGACCTGTAGGCCCGACCCGAAGGCCAACAGTTTGATAAAACGATCCGTAGGCCCGACCCGAAGGCCAACAGTTTGAATCACTTCAAACACGCACACTAATGCGCCCAATTCCAGTCAATCAACAACATGATATATGAATTTCAAGCCAGGACACCCAATGCCAACTTTCAACGCCAATATGCTAAACGCAATCATTCTCAATTTAGATGAATCCAACGCATTATCGATACTCCAAATTATTTCCATTCTAGTCCAATCAAACCGACAATCGTTCCGCGCATTTATTCCAAAGTAAATTTAATGCGCCTAAGGCCCGCCTTGGGCAACTCGATCTCAGTAGACATTCTCACCATCACGGGGTCGCCCAATAGGGTTTATACAAGCTCTAAATAGCCACCCAATTACCTAAATTCAAGTCATTAATCAATGAACCAAATAAGTCCCAACTTAGGCTATTTGCACAAATTCGGTTCTGTGTGAACAGTACCCGGACAGAATACCATTTAGGCCATAAATCACATTTAAACCACCTCATTAAGCCCTAATCACATACCCTAATCACCCTACACCCAAATAAATCTAATTAGGCCCTAATTAAGCCTAATTAACCCCTAAATTACCCCTAGAATGCACAAATTCCAGCCATTATACCTTAATCCATTTAATGCTCAACTTAGACAATATAATGCAAATTCGGTACTGTATGAACAGTACCAAGGCAGAACTTGATTTGGGCACTAAACCACCCTTAACACACTTCATTAAGCACCAATTAGGTCCCCTAATCATCCACTAAACACTAACCACTAATTAAACACTAAACTAACCCCTAAAGCACAATTAGACTAGTTCGGGGTTTAGGGATTTATACTCGCCTAATATTAACTCGAGTCGACGAGAACGGGTGGCCAATTACCGACACGCGGTAAGACTCGGCGGCGGCGGTGGTGCACGGTGGCTCACCGGCGAGGCTTCCCGGCGTCCGGCGGTCTTCTTGCACCGGCGGTGAACGGTGATGGCCTGCTGTCCACGCCAAAATGAAACCAAAGAAGAAGGAGGAGGAGACGGTCAGCTGAAGATGAGGGTGATGAGGCAAGACAGGGACGGCGACACCGGCGGCGGCGCACGGCGGCGACACCGGCGCGGTTGGCTTCCAGGCGGTGATGGTGTCCAAGGGAGGTGATCGGGAGAGAGAGGGCTGCCGAGAGGTTTTTGGAGGGAGAGAGAGAAATGGGCTGGTCAAGTATGGTCAAAGTTTGGTTAGTGGAAGCCAAGTGTCAATCATCCAAGGGCTTGGACATTTTTGCCCTTAATCCAATGGCTAGTATTCATCCATATCCAATAATGCAAGGGGCAAAGGGGTCATTTGTCCTCAATCATGGGCTGACCAGACCTGGTTTAGTCCAATTAACCTGGTTAATTCCTCAAAATTTATCCAAATTCGAAATTAGATAAAAATGGCCTTAGGGGCATTTTCGTAATTTTCCGATCCCGGGTCGAAATTCCAATTTTCAACCGCACGCACTCCAGACATGCGTGGCCACTCCAAATTGGCATCGGTTCCGAAAAATAACTTCGTTTGGCCTCGAAAACGGACATCGGGGTCCCCAGGGGCAAAATTGTAATTTTCTCAATTTTTTTTGTCGAGTTTTCAGTTTTCAGCCGTACTAGTCTCAAACATGTGTGGCCACTCTCAAATGACGTCGGTCTTGCAAATTAGTCGTAATTACCCTTGAAATTTTGATATCGAAGTTCGGTTCCAATATCGCAACCAAATTTGCTCGTTTTGAAGTTTTAGGGCCTCTCACTAACGGGCGGCTGTTTAGGTGTTACGCGTATCGACCTGAGGTTGTCCGAGTCGTGATAGTCTCGAATTTCGGGAGAACGTGAGGAATTATCACTAGTACCGGAGGTCGCGATCGTTCGGACTAAATTCAGGATTAGTTTGTCAGGCGTACTTTCGGTCGTGCGGAATCACCCGCGATCCGATCATACGTTACTGACCCTAACACATCCGTCATTTTCCTAAGATCGGCCCATATTGGTCCAAAATATCCCTTCGACGTTTCTCGAAATCGGTACTCAACCATGATCGGTTCCTCGGTCCACGTACCGGTTCCTATTTAGCCTTTCTCATCTGGTTAGTATCCCGTGATTGATCAAGTCCGGGCGAGACTTACTAAAATCAAACGAGAATTAATGTACACTTTATTGGTCCCGGTAACGGGTCAAAATTCAGGATGTTACAAAAACTCCCGAACTAGAACACTTGTGCCGTAACCTCACACTAATTTTTGTATTACAAAAAATCCTAAATTGGTACAGTTGTGCCACATTTACTTCAAACTAGTGCACTCGTGTCACATTTGCCCTAAAATGTTCCTAGATTTATCACAATTTGGAGTAAATGAGGCATGGACATACCCGTTTGGAATAAATGTGGCACATATGTAGCAATTTGATATTTTTTATGACATGAAAACTAATTTGAAGTAAATGTGGCATACGTGTACTAGTTGCAAAGTTTTGTAACACAAAAATTACTTTGGTGTAAATGTGGCGCGGGTGTATTAATTTGGAGTTTTTGGTGTTATTAGCCTTTTTTCCATATATATAGTATCCGAACAGCATTAGTATCCTTGTACCTCCATAACAGTCAACACATTCTTGTTATGTAGCTAGACAATATATATTATTTAAATTTTACGAGATACATCACTGCTATTAAATACATTTTACACAAATAGTTATCAAACTGCCGTTTATTGATTGTTTATCAAAGTCTGAGCACTGCTTGTGCATTGATCTGTCTTGGACACTTAGGCTCCGTTTGTTTGGCGAAAAATATTCTCCTTTTGGAAAATATTTTCCTGGAACATAATTTTCCGGTGTTCAGCAACCAATATGAAAAAGTTTCGAAAAATATTTTTCGGCGGCGGTGGCGGCCGGCGACCGCGGCGCGCGACCGGGCTGCGGCGGCCGGCGGCCGGCGGCGCGCGACCGGCTGCGCGGCGGCCGGCGACCGGCGGCGCGCGCGACCGGCGGCCGGCTACCGGCACGCGGCCGGCGACCGGCGGCGGCCGGCAACCGGTGGCGGTGACCAACATCCGGGGGGGCAGCAGTGGCAACTGGAGGGGTGAAGGAGGAGTTTGGCGGAAAATGATTTCCGCTTTTCAGAAGCGGAAATCATTTTCCACCAATTTGGTCATGTTTTCCCTCATTGAGGGGAAAATGTTTTCCGGGGGAAAATGTTTTCCGCCCCCGAACACCGGAAAACCCGAAAAATGTTTTCCTGAAAAATATTTTCCGCCAAACGAACACAGCCTTAATATGTCAAAAAATTGTTGGTCCTAAATGCGCAACATCATGATTTCACAATTTATGATTGAGCAATAATTTCATATGTATAGTAAGAATTCATACTCTCATATAAATTAAATTGGCAAAATTGGAGTAAGCATTACGATCACACGTGGTATTTATTATACTTTCATATAGGATATTAAAGAAAATTAAAATCTAATTGATGACAAAAATGTCACTAAACTGTAAACATCGTACACAAATCAATCGCATTTACGTGGAATTATGCTCTTATATATTAGAACTTACTTATTTGTTAAAATTAACTCAATAAAAATGGAGATAAGAAAAACAAAGTGATGAAAAATAAGAAAGAAAAAGTCAAATTTTGACGCATCATATAATTATTTTAAAATATTGATGAAAAAATTAAAAAAAAAAAGACTGGGAGTAGTTATACTAAAGCTCACATCCATAAATTCTACATTCTCACGGCCCTCCCTTCTATATATTCCTTCCAAAACTACCTTGCATAAAATAGTAACGAAAAATTACCAATTAAAATTCTGTCAACAATTCAAGCATCCATTTGCTCCTCTCAAAAAATAGTTACACTTAAGCATTTCATTTACCGAAAAAGTAAGATTGCTCTAAGACAAAAAAGTAAGATTGCAGGATTCTAGCAAATTAGAAAAGAAAGAAAGTAAGATTACGAGATCGGTGGCTTTTGAGAATGACCGGAAAAGCCAGCAACAGAAAGAATCGAACTCAAATCCTCTGAACCAACAAATTTTTGGGTTTTAATCTAAGCAGACTTCCACAAACATCTGGTTCTCCGGTTGTACCCGCTCTCGGCAGTTGTCAGAGACAGAGAGAGAGAGAGAGATGGAAACGTTACATAAACATCTGGTTCTCCAGTTGTAGTCAATTTCAATATAGCCTACCTTCTTGTGGTTTGTGTTCTTAATTAGACCTGTTAAACGGGTGGGTCGGGTCATAAATGGTCCGACCCAAATTGACCCATTAACCCGTTTATGACCCATTTATTCATAGTGTAAATATCTCGACCCATACCCGACCCGACCCATACCCAACCCATACCCGACCCGACCCATATTGCTAAAACACTTTTATATTTAACCTAATCTAGGAATACTTGTTTCTTATGATTTTTTTTTTTAAATTATACTGCTAAAACATTTTATGCAATACAAAGCTAGTGAAAAAATTTTATAATTTTTTTTAAAATTGAGGTTCTGTTTGTTTTACAAAAAATGCGACATTTCTAGAAAATATTTTTCATAAAGTCATTATCCAAGAAAATAAAAAAAATTAATATTTTTTTTATTTTTTAAATAGAATTTTTAATTATTTTTTATTTTTCTTTTTATTTTTTTCTTTTTCGTTTATTTTTGGCCGATCGCCGGCCGCCGTGGCCGGCGACCGACCACAGGCGAGGACGAGCTCGCCGATCTGGCGAGGACGAGCTCGTCGGAGGCCGGCGAAGCTCGTTCTCGCCGATCTGATGAGGCCGAGGCCTCGCCGGCCTCAGGCGAGGCTGGAGCCTCGCCGGGATCGGGCGAGCCTCGAGGTCGCCGGAATTGGGCGAGCTCAAGGCTCGCCAGATCGGCGAGGTCGTCCTGCCTCGGTGGCCGGTCGCCATGGCCGACCACCGGCCGGAATAAAAAAAAAAGAAAAAGAAAGAAGAGAAAAGAAAAAAAGAAAAAATAAAAGAAAAAGGAAAAAAAGAAAAATAATTAAATTTCGATTTTTTTTAAACATCTTTATAAAGAGGAAGAGAGTGTGTGGATGGGTCTAGTGGGTGGGTTGGACATGGGTTCCAAACTCAACCCATTTAGACCCATTTATCTTTAAGCTTTAAAATTTAAAACCCATTTAAGGTTGGCTCTTTAAAATTAAGTGACCCGTATATGACCCATTTATTTTTAAATGGGTCATATATGGGTTTAAGACCCATTTTGACACATCTACTCTTAATAAGCGTTCCTACCCTAGGAGGTTGATTCTTTTTGAGCTGCGAACTGCTTTTAGAGATGGCAAAATCAAATCATGGCAAAGTGGGAATGGAATTGACCAATAAGAAGATAAAGGGAATAAAAGTTTTCATATTGCAAAGCATGTGCAAATGTTGGGTGCTGGAAAAGACGGGTCCAGAGGAAAAGTGGAAAGTCCCAAAGGCCTATGGATCAGAAAAGGATGCGGCAAAAGCAAAGCACCTCGCCCTGTTTGGTTAGAGAAAATTTTTCATTACCTGAACATGAAATTGGTACATGAAAATGGGTTTGGTCGAATAATCAGCACGGTTTCCCAGCATAAGCATTTTTCAAAATTGTTTAAGCAATTGTATAATTGACCAGCTGAACGTTACCAGATATACCCAATAAAGTCGATATAGTTAGGAGATTCCTGGTGTATACTCTTGGTACGAAGACTTACTTGATAAATAGACCCTCATCAACTATGATCAGATATTGAACTCCCAAAAAAGTTTGGGAGTCAAATATTTAAAATATTTGATTGCCTACGTTATTGATGTAAGCTCAATGAAAGGGCAACGAAAGTGTACATTTTTAGGTTAGGTCATACACTTAGTAAATGGGATTTTCGGCTATGATGTACCGAATCAAATTTGCATATTAATGAGTCTTCATTACTTTTGAACGGAAGTGATTGGGGTTATGGCAATCTTTGCATGGATGTGTGGTTGAAGAAATTATTGGCCAATCACGAAGTACTCATACCCCCTGTTACGAAAGCCAAGCGATTGAATAATAAATTTGAAAGAACAAGAAAATAAATCGAATATCAAATTTACGTGATTTGGTCGTAGTGACCTACGTCCACGAGGAGAGCAGCACGGAATTCCACTATAGATCAAACGATACAACGGAGATAACAACCACACTCAAATCACTCAAACAGTCTAAATGTTTTCCAAGCCCCAATTACACCTAATAATGCACGCAGTATTTAGCCCCACAATTCCTCACGAAATAATCTCTTAATCTTACGAAAAAATTGTATACAAATCTTACCATAAGATTTAATCGCTACAAACACTTGAATTACTGGTGTAAGTCCACGAACAAAATCACGAACCCAATGTCAAGCACCCAGCACCAACGTGACGTCACTCGCACTTCCACGGCACTCACTTTTTTTTTTTTTTGGTCGAAGTTTTACTTTCCATTCAAACACTAAGAAACATATCACAAGAGAGAATATGACTAGAGTCAATACAAAATAAATCCCATAGAGGTAGGGGTGGTCTAGACATCCGGTTGGATGGTAGAAATCCTTTCGATGATTTTTGGCTATCGATCTGCTTGCTTGATTGCTTGTTTCGTGGACAGTGGACCGGGAAACCTCCTTTAATTGGGAGAGCAGTACATTACAATCAACAAAAAGGCTTCTCAAGGCCCGTGGGCTTTCTTTCGGGTTATAAGTGAGACTTACTGAAGCTTCGTTGTCTGATTGTAAGCAAATCTTCTCTGCTAATATTTCCTTCTTCTTTGTTGTCTCTGCTCGCAGACAGAGAAGAGCTTCTTTTACAGCGTTTCCTTCGGTTTCCAGCGGGGAGGAAGCAGACACAGTTTTGGCGAACCCCACAATAATCACTCCTCTGTAATCTCTGCATATCCCAGCCACCGATCCCTCTGTTTTCCCTTCGATCCAAGACCCATCGACGTTGAATTTCAGAATTCCAGGTTCTGGGGGCGTCCAGCGTTCTGTCTTCGCTTTGGCCTTCCAACTCCTCGATTCAGGTAAGTTTTGCTCCCGATAGTTTCTGTTTAGAAAAACAGCTTCTTCCATAATTGTTCCGGAGCTTGGACTAATTTGATTGAATACCCAGGCGTTCCTTGCCTTCCAAATTTGCCAGAGGACTCCTGCAAGCATTTCCGGACCCGATTGTGCTGAGCTTTTGGTGAGTGCTTCGTCGATCCATTTGTCCATCCTTGTTAGATTTATCGGTGATACGTCCATCTGGATTCTCGGGTCTGACCATATGTTGTTGGTCCAGTCACAGAGGGTGAAGATGTGCTCCATCGTCTCGGGATGCTTTCGGCAAATTGGACAAAGTGGGTCAGGTAAGGCCCTTCTTTTGTATAGATTTTCTGAAGTTGGCAAAGCATTACTACACACACACCATATGAAAAACCGAATTTTTGGTTCTGTGCGTAATTTCCATATCTCTGTCCAAAGTGAGCGGGGCTGCTGGTAAGAGGATGATGCGAGTTCTGTATTTTGCTTGGAAGGAATTGCTCGAAGTCTAGAATAACCGTGTTTTACCGAATATTCTCCTGTTGTAGCTCCATTCCATATTTGTCTATCGGTGTCCTGGATAGGATTGATCTTTATGGCCTGGATTTTGGACACAATCTCCTCCGGAAACAGTCTTGTAAGCTGATTAACATCCCACATTTTTGTCTCTTGATCTATCAGTTCTACGACTTTCTGTGGGTCCTCCCTGTTTGCTGGACCTCCTATGACTCTCCTTTCCAGCCATTTGTCCTCTCTTATGTTGATGCTCTCACCATTGCCGACATGCCATCTCACATCAGGGCATATGGTATCCCTTCCCATTAATATACTTTGCCACCCCCACGAGGGCCGGGAGCCCTTAGTTGCTTTCCAAAAACTTCTGTTTGGGAAATAAATGCCTTTTAGTAGTTGGCACCACAACGCAGTTGGATTTTGCGCTAGTCTCCACGCTTGCTTTCCTAGCATAGCCTTGTTGAAGGTAACTAAGTCCTTGAAGCCCAATCCCCCATCTATTTTCCTTTCTTTAAGGAGTTCCCATTTTTTCCAGTGGATGCCCGATTTTGATGGTCTGTTTCCACCAAAAGGAAGCTATTTTACGTTCAATCGCTTTGCACACTTGAGATTGGGATTTTGAAAATAGACATTGCATATTGGGGAAGTGATTGTACCACTGTTTTGATTAGAATCTCCTTACCCGCCTTTGAGAGCAGCTTTTCCTTCCAGCCTTCCAACTTCATATTTACCCTTGCCAATATCCACGCGAACATCTGTTTTTTTGTTTGTCCCCAATCTGATGGGATGCCCAGATATTTCCCGGTTTTCTCCATAATTGGAACTCTTAGTTCATCCGCCAAATTTCTTTTGAGGATTTGAGGGCAGCCGGCACTATAAAAGATTCCGGATTTGTTTAGATTTATTACTTGTCCTGAAGCGAAGCAGTATTGGTTTAAGATGTTTGCCAGATTTTGGCATTCCCCTATTGTCCCATCCAGGAAGAAAATAGCGTCATCAGCAAAAAGTAAGTGTGACAACGTTGGGCAATTCCTATTCAGTTTGATGCCTTTCAGACTCCCATCCTCGACAGCCTTTCTTAGTAGAGACGAAAGCATATTTGCCATGATTATAAACAAATAAGGAGATAGTGGATCTCCTTGTCTAATACCCCGTGTTGGTTGGAAGTACTTTAAAGGCTCACCGTTCACTTTAACGCTGAATGTGACTGAGGAAATACATTGCTTCACTAATGACACCCACTCCTGGCTGAATCCCATTTTCACCATGCTAGCGCAAAGGAAGTCCCACTCCACTCTGTCGTAAGCTTTTTGCATATCCAACTTTAGGATCGCCTGAAACTTCCTTTTCCTTTCCCGAATTCTTAGTTGATGTAGGACCTCCTGGACTATGATTATATTATCTTGAATCAACCTCCCACTCACAAAGGCACTCTGTTCTGTGGCAATTAGATTCGGAAGTCAGGGTTTGAGGCGATTCGCCATCACCTTTGAGATTATCTTGTAGCTGAAATTGCATAGGCTAATGGGTCTAAATTGTGTGATGCTTTCTGGATGGGTGACTTTAGGGATGATCACAATGTGTGTTTTGTTGAGTTCTGGATCGAGGTAGCCTGATAGGAAGAAATTGCTGACAAGACTGTGTAGATCATGTTGTAGTTCCTCCCAATGGTGATGGTAAAACTGGCCATTTATCCCATCTGGTCCTGGGGCTTTTGTTGCTCCTAGCTGAAACACTGCTTGTTTGACCTCTTCTACGGTAACCGCTGCCATCAATGCCTCATTCATCTCATGTTGGCTTGGAAAAGAGCATTGGTCTAGAATTGGGTTGAAGTTCCTGGTACCCATTGTTTCGAACAAGGATTCATAATAACTGGCGATGTGCTTGTTTATGTTGTTGGGATCTCTGCACCATGTGTCTTCAATTTTCAACATTGCAATTTTATTCCTTTGTCTTCTTTGGATCGTGGCGGCGTGGAAATATTTCGTGTTTTTGTCTCCCCACTTAATCCAATTAATTCTTGATCTCATGCCCCAATATTGCTCTTCTTGTTTCCACAAATTCTGGATTTGCACTTTGATTTGCTGCATTTCTTTTCTGTCGGAACCACCATTACTTGCATTTGTAAGGGTTGTGAGTCTTCTTTTTAAGAACTCGATCTTGTTGTGGGCATTGGAGAATTTCTTTTTACTCCACAACTCTAGAGCATCTGAGGTCTTTTTCAATTTTCCAGCAAACGAGATTGGGATGACTTCCGGTACACCCCAAGCTTCTTTCACCAACTCCTTGCACTCCGCATCGGCCAGCCAAAACGCCTCAAACTTAAAAGCTTTTTTCCTTTTAGTCCTATTTGGTTGGAGGGACAGCAGAATAGGACTATGATCAGAACCTATAGCAGGTAAAGCGAATGCTTCCGCATTTGGGAACCTCACTCTCCAATTTATGTTGCAAAGTACTCTATCTAATCTTTCCCGCACGAGTGCATTTCCTTCCCTATTGTTGGACCAGGTGAATGCGCATCCCTTGCTTTCGATATCCATTAGTGAGCATCTATTTAAACAGTCTTGGAATGCAACTAGTCTGTAGTGCTCCGCCCCATTACCACCTGATTTTTCCCAATGGTACAATATTTCGTTGAAATCTCCAGCACATATCCAAGGGAGGTGATTAGCTGCCTTTATTACTTGTAGATGCTGCCACAGCCTGAGTCTTTCCTGGAAGTTTGTGGGAGCATACAGGAAAGTGATGCGCATGAGAGTCCCACTATCTTGATCTCTACACAAAATGTCTATAAATTCTCTAGAGGAATCTTCCACCACCACCGACACCCCTTCGTTCCACATTACAACCAAACCCCCGGCGATACCTTCGGGGTCTATTATCTCTATGTTTTGGAAGTTGGTTCTTCTTTTCACTCTATCGACGACCGGTCTCTTGTTTTTAGTTTCCATCAGGAAGACTAAGTCAGGCCTTTCTTGAGCCACTAAGGCTCTGAGATGCTGGACTGTCAGGGGATTGCCCAGCCCCTGACAGTTCCAGCTCAAAAGTTTCATATAATCCCCGGTGGCTTATTAGGGCTAGCCACCAGAGCCCAATCATTTCTTCCCTCAACCAACTTGATCGGAGTGTCGAGGAGAGTTCCTTCATTGATGGAGGGATAGAGAATCTCGCATACCCCTTGAGGATCGATTTTTTTTCTGTTTCCTCGTAGCGGCCACTTTCTTAAAGGCTTTCGTGCTGATCTTCTCCCTCCTTGGTTTCTTCGGTTGTCCATCTTTCATTGCAAACCCTGACCGAATTAGCTGGGTGTCTTGGCTTGTGGAGCCTAGTTGACCTTTCCTATTCAAGCAATCTGGTTGTGTCCCTTCTGTTAATCTCTCCTTCTGAGGAGAATCTTCAATCAGCCCAATAATTGTCTTACCCTTAGATGTAGACAACTCTGGTTCTCTAGGAATAAGTTCCCTTTGTGTTTCCGGGATGACCTCGTTGTCCTCCGTAGAGGGACTATACGTACCGTAAAAGATCTTCCAAGAGGGGCTGGATTCTCGAACTTCCGCTCTCAGCCATTGCCCATATTTGCTCCTTGCGTGTACCATGGGGCCCGACTCCACAAAGGGAACTTCCTTGCAGTAGGTTGCATAATGCCCTATCCTCCCGCATGAGTAGTAGAAATGCGGGAGTCTTTCGTATCTAAAGTCCACCCAGATCTTCTTATGCTCCAGGTCTACAATAGTTCCTGTCTTTAGAGGGTTAGAAAGGTTCACAAGAACTCTTACTTTACAGCTTCTACTAGGGCCTCCTCCTCTTGAGTCAAGTTTCACTTCTACCACTTCACCAATCTTCCTTGCTATTTCCTTAACTGTCTCTTCTGATAGCCTCCCACGGGGAACACCTGCCAACTGAACCCAAAAGGCACAGTGTGTGAACTCGTAGCAATGGTCGGGAGTATCCGGCTCGCCTTGTTGAAGAATTAGTAAGTTACTCGAGAAGGACCATGGACCTGAATTCAGTACCCTGTTTTTTTCCTCTATCGAAGTGAAGGAAAAGGAGAAGAGCCCCGGCTCGATGAGCTCGCATTCTAACCGGTCCGTTTTCCACGACTTCTTCATTGTGTTAATGAATGCTTGAACATTCACATTTGGTTTTGAGTACAGTTTCCCATATAATGTTAATGCACATTCTTGTTGTTTTTCTGCAGGGATTTCGCCATTTAACCGCACGAGGTCATCTTCTGACCATAGATTTCCCAGTTCTTTACACAGGGCTGCCACCCGGGCTGCATTATCATCTTTCTTTGGCATAGTAGGTTCTGATGTGAAACTCACTACACTATACTGTTCTGATTATGGCACTTACCATGAACTCCAAATTGATCCCCATTTCTCTGAGATCGACAATGTTGTACTACTATAGACAGTAGTGACTGAAATAAACAGCTGTAAATTTGTCCTTAATGAGACAACTTAACTGGAAATATGATTGCACAGCTATAGTTTACGGCTTCTGTTCCTTCTTGCCCCAAGATTACACTGTAGTTCAAAAGCTTCATCTACTTCTGGTACGAAAGTTGATACTAGAGGCTGAACAGGGCACGAGGAGGATGGATGAGGAAGATTGGGATGACCGAACTTTTAGGGTCGCGATGGAAGTTACTCAGTATGAAGGGTGAAGGTTAGCGACGCTGGGGTTTAAATCGGTAGAGAGAACAGCTCTTCCCGACCCACCGAAAGGAACCCCGACCCTACGCCTCGGAGGGGGAATATTCTGCCATTCACGAAGAAACAGATGGCATGCGCTTGAGGATTCCACGCCACTAAGGAAAATGATGACTCGATGGGGGGGTTTGGATTAGGGCATGACGAAGATGGATCTTTAGACTTCCTGGATTTATGGGAGGAAGGGAAGATTGGGATTTCTCACGGGAAGAGGAGACAAAGAAGGATTAAAGCTGGGGAAGGCCGGATTAGGTTTTGAGGGGAGAACTATCACCATTGGGATAGGGAGGGGAGCTCCTAAACGGAGAGATCATTGCAACCGAGGTTGTAGCTGTGAGGAGGTTGACTCACACGGCACTCACTTAAAACGGCTCATATATATAAAAGAACCTCAATTGACCGAATATTGGTTTCCAAATTTCACGTTTGAACTTTCCAAGTTCGCTGTTTTATTTCCTTCTTTCTCTGAAACTTTGCCGACTCAAGAACGGAATTTCCTTGATTTCCTTGTTTGTTTATTTCCTATAATTGACCCAATTAATAAACCCACTGAAATCCACTTTCCACGGTCAAAAGGTCCAACAAAGGACTTCCTTTTTCTGTCCTTTTATTTCACGATTCGGACTCCAACGTGAGAATAGCAAACTTGATGTGTCCGTATATTTCCTTTTACTCGATTTCGGACATCCACAAAATATCTAATTCAGAATATTTAATAATTAATCTCGAATAGAATTTTGACTATCGAGTTTAAACTCAAGATATATTTTAGCACCTCCTACGAGAGAAAATGAATTTTAAAGCTGAGAGCCACTTTATTTTGCAAGAACATAAATCGGCCAGGCTATTAAGTGGGGGAAATCATGCAATGCGTTGTTGGGACTTCACTCCAATCAACCCCCACAGCAGTGGCCTCGATGCACATGGCAATCACAAAGTTGATGAGACTAATCGAAAGAAAGAGAGAGAGAAGAAGATGGAGAAACTGTGGGCATCTGATTTTTTAGATTAGAGTAGAGCGTACCACTTTTTGACTAAAAACGACACTGATTTGAGAAAAGGAAATGGGAATAATCACTCCTGCCTTCGTTGTGATAACACATGTTGACATGTTATGCAGCTATTTTTTTTTCTTTGAGAAAAGAAAATGAGAATATCATGAAAAACTCTAAACTGGTATATATGTGATAAATTTACTCCAAACTAATATATTTGTGATAAATTTACCATATGTTAGTTTCTGTTAAATTTTACTGTCAAATTGCTGAGTTAAATGACACGTGGCAGTTGACATAACAAATCTACGTAGAAATCAAAATGGTTAATATCATGAAAAAATCCAAACTGGTACACTTATGACAAATTTATCCCAAATTGGTATATTCGTAATAAATTTATTCAAAATTAATTTTTAAGTCACCAAAAATCCCAAACTGGTATAAACGTGACACATTTACTCTCTGTTAATTTCCGTTAGTTAATGTGGCAAGTCTACTTGGAAATCCATAACACTTTTTTTGTGGAAATCCATAACATTGTTCTCTCTCTCTCTCTCTCAAAACACAAAAAACCCTAGATCGTTTTTCTTTTCATCAATTCTTCATCGTCGTCTTTGTATAAGGTCGTGGAAATTGCGAACACCATTTGGCGAGAACTCTTTAGCGACACTTTTCTTGATAAATCTAGGTTGATGAACGAAGCAATTCAGCCGAGTTGTGATGTGCAATAAAGTTTCTTTTTTAAATTTCTCTAACATTGCCTCTATATCATCAATACCTTAACTTTTTTCTTTCTAATTCACTACAAAATTTTATCAAGAAGAAAAAGGCCTTGGTATTAAAGTAAAATCAGTGCATTAATCATGGGCAACATCCCGAGGTAAAGAATCTCTGTTGTTCTTTACACACTCTAGTTTCCACAACCGGAAATCTCGATCTGTTGTTCTTTACACACTCTAGTTTCCACAACCGCAAGGATCTTAGTTGTTCTTTACCTCAGGATGTTGCCCATGATGAATGGTCGCACTGATTTTTCTTTAACAGCAAAGCCTTTTCTTTCTTGGTAAAATTTTGTAGTGAAGTAGAATGAAAAAAAGTTAAGGTATTGATGATATAGTTGTGAAGTTAGAGAAATCTGGAAAAGGAACTTGATTGCACATCACAACTCAGCCCGATTGCTTCGTTCATTGACCTAGATTTAATAAGAAAGTGTCATTAAAGAGTTCTCGCTAAATTGTGTTTTCAATTTCTATGACCTTAGACAAAGACGACGATGAAGGATTCGATGAAGAGGAAGATGATCTAGGGTTTTTTGTGTTCCGTGAGAGAGAGAGAGAGAGAGAGAGAGAGAGAGAGAGAGAGAGAATGGTGTTATGGATTTACACATGGACTTGTCATGTTAACTAACGAAAACTAACGGAGGACAAATGCATCACATGTGTACTAGTTTGGGGTTTTTGATAACCCAAAAGTTGGTTTGGGTATATTTGTCATAGATATACCACTTTTAGGTTTTTCGTGGTATTAACCATTTGGATTTCCACGTGAACTTACCAGTCAACTGTCATATGTTATCCAACTTAGCAATTTGACAGTATAATTTAATGGAAACTCACGAATGGTAAATTTATCACCGGTGTACCAGTTTTGGGTTTTTGGTAATCGAAAAACTAGTTTGGAGTAAATTTGTCATAGATATACTAGTTTAAGGTTTTTCGTGATATTAACCATTTTTTTAAAGAATGAGTACTTAACATGGCATAAGTAATTGATCTTTTCCTTTTAAATAAGGAGAAGCAAGCCTTCTTTGCTTCGTGCCTTTGGGGACGGAAGAACCAACAAGTAACCTAAGAAGAAATCTCCAGTAGTTTGGCTCGTTTCCTTTTAGAATATCAAATAGATCGTGTAGTATAACCTAATCACATTGCTTCCTATTATACATCTCAACTAGTTTTGTGTCTACCGACCAACAAAAAAACTAGTTTTGTATGTGAAATTTACAATTGCCAGGACAGCGACAACAGAAGTCCTTGCGTCATTTATATATTTGAGTCTTAGACTTTTATTTCGTTCATTTTTTAATTAAAACTTGCCAAAAAAAAGCACGTGAGGGATTCCATTAGCTTTGTCAATTTCTAGTGGACAAAAATCATTGTTGGCATATTTAATTAATGTTTCTTGTTTTTTGTGGACATGCAATGTTGATGTGGCACCAAGTGATTGCCAAGTCAGAAAAGATTCAAAATAACAGAGAGAGAGAGATATGTGAGGGCAGGGGAGGAGACATGGGGCACCGCTCCCGCCCCACTCATTCACTGGTAGTGGCTGGCAATCCTCAGCCAGTTGCAGATATCACTAGGACAACCAAGTCTAGTTAAAATTCGGGAAGCAGACCGAATCGGCCTAAATTGATCAGTTCAAGGCCAGTTTTATGGAGTTCTTCAATTACAACAAACAACTTGCTAACAAATATTTTATAGTGAAATGGTGTGATTATTATTTTTTTATCATAATAATTTTGTTTTTTACCCAAAACATAAAATGGACGGTTCTCGAGGAAAATCAGGAAGCGGACCGAATCGGCTTGAATCGATCAGTTCAAGGCCGGTTTTAGGGAGGTCTTCAATTAGAACAAATAACACTATAACCACTTGACCAACAAATATTCTACAGTGAAATGGTGTAACTTTTATTTTGTTATCATAACAATTTTGTTTTTTACCCAAAACATAAAGTGGGCGGTTCTTGAGGAAAATCGGGAACTAGAACAAAACTAAGGGTCCCAAGGTTGATTTTCGGTTCTAGGCCGAAAAGATCGACCTACTTTGGAACTCATCACCCGTTGAAGTCGCCAACCTTCTCTCTCTCTCTCTTCCCGCTTTTTTCCTTAAAACTTTCGGTCCTTCTTTCATTTTAATTTTCAGCCCTTTCTTGATGTGATGCTAAATAGAATAGAAAAATCAATAAACAAGTATTCCAACTAGACATTTTGTTCAAGGGAAATAGGCGGTGATGCAATTCGGAGAAAGATTCAAGGAAATTACAACTTAAGAGTTTGGTGATGGCATGCGAGTTTACATTCCTAACTGTATCATTCACTTTTCAGAAATCTGCATATTTGTCCATGCACAAAATGGTTTTGCGATGAGGATTGAATTTGTCCATCATGTTAGCGGCCATAGTCCCTTCCGCATATCTTTTCCTGTTCTTTTTTTTTTACTTTTTCTTCCTAGACTTTCATCTGTCTCCGTAGTTCTTTTCCATGAAATTTAGTTTATATTGAAATATCAATAACCCAAATAAAGTATTCGAGCCCATGCCATAGGTCAAACTTGAGCTCGACCTCTCGCCAGTGATTTCCTCCGGAGATGGTGCCTCTGTTTCTGGGCTGCAATTACCGGCATTTGTTCATTGCCATGGATAAGTCTAGTGGAGATGGATCTACGAAGCAGTAGATGATCAATTGTTACGTTAAAACCCTGTGTTGATGCCTATTTTTTTAATTTGCCAAGAATTAATTATGCAAAAATTTAAGAGTTAATGTCCTTAATTCCTAAAATGCAAAAATATTTTCTATTTAATTGCATGCATGTAGACATTATGTGCATTT